CCTCTGTCTTGTATTGTGGTGCCCCAAGCTGCATGCAGTACTCGAGGTGAGGCCAAACCAGTGCAGAGCAGAGCAGGCCAATCCCTTCCCTTGACTCACTAGCAATGCCATACCTGATGCACTCGAGGATATGGTTGGCCCTCCAGGCTGCCAGAACATACTTTTGTCTCATATTCAGCTTTCCATTAACCAGAACTTTCAGATCCCATTCTGCAGGGCTGTTATCCAGCCTCTTGTCCCCTAGTCTGTATCTTGGATTGCCCTGTCCCAGGAGCAGGATCTGGCACTTGCTTATTAAATTTCACGCAATTGGTGATCACCCAGTGTACTGGGTCTGGCTGGAATGTTAACTTTCCCGGCAGCAGCCCATACAGTGCCGTACTCCGTACTTGTAGCTGGAACAGCAGTGTTATCACACCAGTGTTGTGTCTGCTGCTGAGCAGCAGTGGCACAGTATTAGGCCTTTCTCTAACCCTCCTAGGGGGTGGGCAAAAAGTGAGGAGAGAAACATCACTAGGGCAGCTGCCCTAAACCAATCAAAGGGATATTCCATACCATGTGGTGTCACACTCAGCAAGAAAAGGTGGAAACAGGAAGAAGAGGGGAGGGGTGGGCTCTCGTTGAAAAGACGTCAGTTCTCCTCTCGAACACTGGCTGCGTGCGTTGAGGCCTTGCTTCAAGGACGTGGTCAATCATCGCTCATTTGTGGGAAGTAGAGAGTAATTTCTTTCCTCTGCACTTCCATATAGCCTTCATTTATTTTGTTTGTTTGTTTTCCTCCTTTTTTTTTATTTTTTCCCTTTTCCCCTCCCTTTTCCCCTTTCCCTTTTATTTCCCCTTAGTTAAATTGTTTAGTTCATGGTAGTCTTTATTTAATTATTATAATTATTTCCCTTTAATTAAATTATCCTTATCTCAACCCATGAGTTGTTCTTTGCTTTACTTCTCCCCCTCCTCATCTAAAGGAGGGGGAGTGAGAGAGCGGTTGTGGGGTTTAGCTGCCCAGCACGGTAAAACCACCACACCCAGCCCTCTAGTTTGTCAAGATCTCTCTGCAAGGCCACTCTACCCTCAACAGAGTTAACAGCACCTGCTAATTTATTACCATCTGCAAACTTCCTCAGTACACCTTTTAGTCCTACACCCAAGTATTTTAAGAAAACATTTAAGAGAACTGGCCCTAAAATGGAGCCCTGGGGAACCCAGCCAGCAGCCTGATGTAACCCTGTTTGCTATAACCCTTTGAGTTCAACACATCAGACAATTGTTCACTCATTGTATTATGCATTTATCTAGCTGTATGCTGGACATTTTGTCCAGAAGGACACAGAATCACAGAATCATCTAGGTTGTAAGAGACCTCCAAGATCACCTAGTCCAACCTCTGACCTAACACTAACAAGTACTCCACTAAACCATTACTAAGCTCAACATCTAAACATCTTTTAAAGACCTCCAGGGATGGTGACTTGACCACTTCCCTGGGCAGACCATTCCAATGCCTAACAACCCCTTCAGTAAAGAAGTTTCTCCTAACAACCAACTTTAGCCCATTCCCCCTCACCCTGTTGCCAGGCACGTGGGAGAACAGACCAACCTCCACCTCTCTACAGCCTCCTTTAATGTACCTATAGAGAGTGATAAGGTTGCCACCGAGCCTCCTCTTCTCCAGACTGAACAATCTCAGCTCCCTCAGCCGCTCCTCGTAAGATTTGTTCTCCAGACCCCTCACCAGCTTCATTGCTCTTCTCTGGACTCGCTCGAGCACCTCGATGTCCTTCTTGTAGCGAGGGATCCAAAACTGAACACAGTACTCAAGGTGCGGTCCTCACCAGAGCCGAGTACAGGAGGATAATCACTTCCCTAGACTTGCTGGCCACACTGTTTCTTATACAAGCCAGGATGCTGTTGGCCTTCTTGGCCACCTGAGCACACTGCTGGCTCATATTCAGCCGACCAATACTCCCAGGTCCTTCTCTGCCTGGTAGCTTTCCAACCATTCATCTACCAGCCTGTAGCGCTGCTTGGGGTTGTTGTGCCCGGCACTTGGCCTTGTTGAACTCCATACAGTTGACCTCAGCCCATCAGTCCAGCCTATCCAGATCCTCCTGCGGAGCCTTCCTACCCTCGAGCAGATCAACACATGCACCTAACTTGGTGTTATCTACGAATTTACTGAGGGTGCACTCGATCCCCTCATCCAGATCATCGACAAAGATATTAAAGAGGACTGGCCCCAGTACTGAGCCCTGGGGGACACCACTAGTGATCGGCCTCCAGCTGGATTTGACTCCATTCACCACAACTCTTTGGACCCAGCTATCCAGCCAGTTTTTAACCCAATGAAGCATACGCCAGTCCAAGCCACGAGCAGTCAGTTTCTTGAGGAGAATATTGTGGGAAACGGTGTCAAAGCCCTTACTGAAGTCAAGGTAGACCACATACCACCCAAGGTAGACTACATAGACCCTTTGGGGTAGAACGCGTCTGCCCCAAAGCAGATCGCCTCAGCAAGTCAGAAACAGTACTGAAAGCTTCAATGAAAAAAAAAAAACAAAACACCACCACCAACAACAAAAACCCACAGCATATTGTGTTTCCACAGAAATTAAGATTCATTTCAGCTCCACAGCTATCCTGATGGACAACCTCTCACAAATCACCTTTCTAGCCTTCAGCGAGACAGGATGATATTGACTTAATTTGCAAGGCATTCAGAGAAGAAAAACACTAGTTAAATAGAAAGTTCCCATTATTATTACTTCTACCACCCTCTTTTCTGGAAAGACTGTATGTCAATCCAAGATATCCCAGATGTCCACAGTGAATATATACAATGGCAGTAGGGAAAAAATAAAAAGTGTGCCCAAGTTAAAATGAAATTTGGCAAACTTATTTACTCCTTTTCTTCATACTCTCATGCTGCAGTGCTATGGGCCACAGAGTAGATAAAGCTAGTCAGAGGATATTGATTGGCAAATATGAGATGCAGTAAAGAATTGTATTGCAAATGTGAACAGTAAAACTATGGAAAGAAAACAAATAAGCAATGCTGGATACTTTGAAAAAAAAGACTATTAACAAATTAATGCAGTATAACCTATAGTAGTGCATAGTACTATATGCAATACTAATGCAGTATAACCTATAGTACTATGGTTGGAATAATTAATCAGTAAAGCAGGGTAAGTGCCAGTGGGGAAAAGAGTAAGGCAATTAGGGACTCATTAGTGTCCCTAATTAGAATATATTATCTATGTTAGTGCTAGGTTTTCCCCCACACCAGAGATTTGATCTGACTGTCAAAGCCAAATAAAGCATTTTATAGAAACTACTGAATGCCAGAGCAGGCCCATATGAAAACAAACAAACATACAAACAAAAACAGGCAGCTCATTACACAGTGACATAGATTCACAGAATCATCTAGGTTGGAAGAGAACTCCAAGATCACCTAGTCCAACCTCTGTCCTAACACTAACATGTCTACCACTAAACTATATCACTAATCTCTACATCTGTATCTAAATGTCTTCTAAAGACCTCTAGGGCTGGTGACTCAACCACTTCCCTGGGCAACCCATTCCAATGCCTAACAATCCTTTCAGTAAATAAGTTCTCCCTAATATCCAACATGAGATATAGGAAAATTCCTGGCTAACATCTGAACCCCCTACCATCTAAGTCCAAACAAATTACTGAAGCCACATGTGTGCAGATTTTCAAACATGAGGATGATCAAATACATTACACTGAGCACCAGAAGCCAAGTTAAAAATATATAGCTAGGTTAGTCTTCTAAGGTAATGAGCGTGATAGTAAACAGGAGTCTTCTTTTATAACTCAGATAAACTAAACACCTCAAGCACAGAGCTTTTTTTTCTTTCTCTTTTTTTTTTTTTCTTTTCATTTTTCTTTTTTTTCCCCTGTTAAGCACAAGTACTTGTTATAGTCAGAATGTTTGAACAGAATGACAGATGCCAGCTGTTAAAATATAGACGAGTTTCCTTTATTAACGTTCATGGCATCTTTACCACATAGTTCATCACAGCGAAAACAAATAATGAAAAGCCTATATCCAGATGGAAAACGCTTTATCTAATCCATCACAATACCTGAAACAGTTCTGTATTTTTGTTTGTAGAAATGAAGCTGGACAAATCAGCTTGTACAAAACTAAGGCACTAAAGAGAATATCTAGTGTGCTGTATACATCAGTCCTCCTAGATGAAAGAGAATAATATTCAGCAAAACCCACTGTTGTCCATTCTTCTGACCCATCTGGGTCTTCTGGTCTCCTCAAAAAGTATTTCAGTATTACATCTTTTCCTCACAGAAAAACAGCTGTGGGGTCCAACATGCAAGCAGAACAATAACAAGTTTGGTTAGGCTTCTCCATTTAAGAGCCACTGGGCTATTATAAAAGCTATCAGGAACAGTGGTGCAAAAGAATAGGGGCAAAGTTTTGAGTAAACCAGAAGTTGTACATGTTCTTCTAACTTAAAGAGATGTGAAAATACAATGTGTCCATTAGAACTGGAACTTTAGGCAAATTTGAATATTCATGTTCCTCTCTGAAATCATGGAATTCAGTTAAATTTCAGTAAAAGAATTAAAAGAATAGTCATTGGATTTATTACCCTAAAATGAATATGTTTTCACTACAGTCCAATGCAGCTATCATTTGGCACAGAGACTCAACACCAGTCCAGAAACATTTAAAGCATCTATTGTGCTTATGTCTGAACAGAGCTTAAAATAATTTGGAGCATTACACTATTGTATTACCAGAACGAGTCAGTCACTCTGACTTTATTGTGAAAGTAATGTACATTGACCTTCCTTGACAGCAATGAAAACCTAATGACATCCTTCCCTGCCATGGAGATTGCATGAAATAAAACTACATTTGGCAGAAAACAATCTGTTGTGGATTTGAACTATTTTCTGTAAACAACTCTTCTGTAATCAGCTGCAAATTAATGGAAACATCAACTCACCCTCTCTGGAAAAGGTCCACATTATGGAATTTGTGTAGTTCCACAGAAAACTCGACCGTTCCCTGGACCTCAGACATGATTTTTTCAGGTCATCACCTAAACAACACATACAAACAGGCATTATAAACATTTGAAGTATTTTGCTTAACTAATCCTCAACCATATTACTACACTTTGTTTGGCACTTGGGGTTCATGCAAAGCTCACTGAAATTGATTGGAATGTTTCCAATGACTTCATTGAGCTCCATCTTCAGGAAGACTTGCTAAAAGCGAGATCAAAGCAGTAATTAAGAGAGGTAAAATGTCTAATTAAGCCTGAGGACAGAATGATAATATTATGGAAAGCACAAGAAGAGGCAAAAAGTAAATAACATATTATGTGCAAGAATCTCAAAGCAAATTTTAATTAACTGTCTTACTACTCTTGTATGGGAAATTGATTTTTTCATCCCATTTTACCAAATGGCAGAGATCCAGGGGCAGCACAGCTCATTTCTGTAAAACCACAGGCCAAAAAGACAAAACCCTGAGACAGATGAGAGTAGAATTCAGAATTCTCATGCTTTTGACCCTTTCTGTGACATAACTGAAGGCCTGGAAGGGAAGCTTCTGAGGGAATATGAATAATTTAAAGAATAATGAATGGAAAAGATTCTTCTAAGAAAATGCTGACAATCAAAGTATTTAATAGGCCACAACACCCAGATAAAGATTTTGAAGCATTACAACCATTTACAGATTTTATATATATATATATACACACAGTTCATTGAATCACGGAATAATTCAGGTTGCAAGGGAGCTCAGGAAGACATAGGAAGACATACCTTACCCAAGGAAGTTTTGCCAAAGTAAGTTTCCAAACCATCACTATTTAATATACTAGTGTAAACCCTTGACATTCCCTAATTGCAGCAGAGCCAAGCAAAGGGTTTTTAGAGCTTTTTTTTTTTTTTCAATTTCAATTTACCCTTTCCTGCTTTTCTCCCTGAAAGTCTTCTTTTGGCAAGCTGTGAGCTGTAAGCTGTCTGGAAATTGTCTATGGCATCATTGACAAGACAGCCATCAGATTTGCTTAATTAGCACAGTTCAGAAGCATCATTCGGTTGCTTTTTCACAGCAGCCAAGTACAATCTCTGAGGATGACCCATGTTATGACTATTAATAATTCCTCTGTCAGAGACACTTGGGTCTCTAAGGGGACATTGAGCTCAGATTGCAAATGGGAGAATTTCTCCATACATGCTAACCTGTAATTTCAAAGATTTGACCATTGTCTACAATGAAACAGGAATGAAAAGTTTGATGCATGAAGGTCTGAGATAAGCATTAAGCTGTAGCTTTCTGATAAGTCTCTGTGCTGAATACTGACTAGTAATTTTCCAACTGACTGGCTTATTACACTGATTATTTTAAACTATGTTTTATTTCTGGTTGTCCTTTCAAACACTACCAGTTTCAAAAATAGCTATTCCAGAGTTAAAATGTTGTTGTTTTTTCATCCACCCTCCTGAAAACCAAGCATTACAGATGTTGACTGTCGAATGACAAGAATGGGACACAGGATTTATGCAGTATTTGTAATATATGTCTATAGCTGCTAAGCTATCCATCTGATATACCTCCAAGGTAAGAAACTCTACAGCTTAGTGCCAGGATATAATTTTGGAGTAGTGAAGGTAAACTCTTCTAAACTCTTCTAAAAAGTGAAGGTAAAATGGTATTATTGTACCAAATGCATGTAATTCTCAGCCTGCCTCTTTATTTTTTCCATTTAAACAGGTGTGAGACTAATCCTTTCTGGCTTTGCCTTTTTGAACAGCCTGAAGGAATTGTATACTGTTTATAGGGCACGTATATCACATATTCGCCTGGTAATGTGTGTGATAGTCTTGTCTGAGCATATAGCATCAAAGGAAGGCAGACTGTGTGGGGGATGAGAAAATCACACAACACCAAGTGATACTCTGACAAGGTATTCAGCCTTGAGGAGAGTGCTAATTGGAAGAATTACCTCTGGATAAATCTGCATATTGTGCTCAGACATATTTCCCTAGACCAAAAGCTCAGGATCAAAGGAAACTGTGTGCTTTTGAAGACACCAGTTTAAAGAGACTTGTGAATGGGTGGCCAGACAGTTCAGATCAGGACCAATATTTTCAAAGACAGAAAGAATGGGATGAGGCTAAGGTTAGCTAGGATGAATGAAAAATTAAAGATTAAATACATGGAAATACACATGCAGGTCTTCACTACATATACTTTTTATTTTTCATGCTTTGTACTTTTTCATAGCAAATGTGGAAAAAATATCTCGGGACAAAAAGAGAAAAAAAAAAGTTTCTGTAGCTTAATTTCCCTTACAGATCACCAGAATGAAAGGGGAAATAGCTGCCATACCATGTTAGACATCCATCCACGCCACCAAAAAAAGAGTGGCTCAGAGCATACCAGTCTACATCTGAAGGCTAGAGGGACTGAGCCCCTACCAGCCTGACAATCACTAGAAGTGGTCTCTGACACACCTGCTCATCACGTCACTTAGCAAGGTTCAAAGAAAAATTACTCAGAGCCATTGGCAACATGCTTCAATGAAAAAGCTACAAAACAAGACAAAACAGCTGCAGAAATCCCAGATGGAGAAAACACAAGTGCTTCAAATGATGCACCGAGTTTTCACTGCCACACAACGTAGCTCTTTAAAAGAAGCTAATCACAACCCTTCAAAATCCAGGGCATGTGAAGGACCTCTGACTACCCCTTACTCACTTATCTCCATGGGGAATAACCTCAGGATATAAATAGAGAATTAGATGGTAAAAATAATACTGAAGTGAAAGCATTGAAAACACAATAGGGACTGTTGCCAGAATCAAAGTATCATCAATTTGATAATAAGCAGTTTAAAGAAAAATGCAGAGGTGATCCTTGGTAAGTCTTTAGTACATTGGTTCTTCTAAAATTTTTAATTTTTTTTTTAATTTTTTTAAGTTAAACCCTTTGTATTTTCCAAGAGACTTAAGACACAAGTAAATCTCTATAGAAAGCTAGAAAAAAAAATACAGGGGAAGTGTTTTGGCCATATGCTTGTGTAAAAGCAGTGCCCATGACCAGTCTTGTCACTTCCAGAGCAATGAATTGCTTTGTAAGGCACTGCCATCATCACTGATTGTACTGCGCTGTCCTACAGGCACTGATTTTATCAGTCAGGTCACTGCTTTGAAAGTCTGTCCTTCCAACAAGAGTTGGTGTCCTAGCAAAAGACAATCAATTTCATTTGTCATTTTACTTGTAGCAAGGAGACACTAACTGAAAATCAGAATCCTTTATACAAATAAAGCCCTATAAAAATCTATATATTTAAATACTGGAGTGTTCTTTTAAAGGAAGACTTGATTTTTAACTCTGAATTTCATTGTTTTTTCTAAAGATAACTTCTGAATTGGAGATTTTTCAGCATATGATACTGGTTAAACTACAATGGCTTTATTTATCTTTATCCTCCATTGCTCTCAGCAATCTTTTTGACTCATAGTGGTTGTGCTAATGACGTTTTAGAGATAGCCAACTGACCGAGCCCTCTGACAGCAGGTAAGTATTGGTTATGTACCACACACACTCAATTATTACACATCTTGAAGCTAAAAAGGAGTCTGAAAATTTACCTGCTGAGGCAGCAGTCAGCATCAACCCAACCAAAGGGAGGAGATAAAGGCGAAACAGGGACAGGGCTGGGTGGAAATAAGGACAGGACACTGCATACTCTGACAGTCTATGAACTTTCTAGCATTTGTGCAATTACCTCTGAATGAAAAATAAACCAGACATTTATTTACTGCTTTCACAATTCTTGAGCATCTCTGTCACAGAAGCCAGAGGAAAAAAAACACACACACACACACACAAACACACACAGTAAGGACAAAAGAACAAAACACCATGTGATAAAGGGCAATGACTCATAAACCTAGAAACATATGTTTAGGAGAATAAAGCTGCCTCTCAGAAAACACAGAACATACTATCTCCAGGATGGAAGGATAGAACTGTCTTCCTTACTGCCTTTAAAGCGTCTTTTACTTTATTGTGATTTTTTCAGAAACTGGTATTTGTTGCTAACTCTGCATTCTGTCTGTCTCTCTCTCTTTCACTTTTTTTTTTTTTTCATTTGAAGAGTTCCTTGATCAAATGTTTAGAATATAGCCATAAACCCACTGTAAGTTAACATTATTCTCCTCTCCACAAATGCCTTCTGTAAAAATCTAAGTAAGGGACAAGGTAACTCAGGAAAAGGAAGATTATAAACAAAATCTCATTACAAGTAAGTTCTAAAACAGTAGCAGAAGTTAACATTAGACCAAGTCTCTTTTTTTCATTTTTGTTTAATTAAATTGCTCCATTGTTCACCTTCATGTAGCTGAAAAGGATCACAGCTCTTAATGCAACAATTGCATCTCAGTAGCCTCTTCTGAGCATACATGAATCGCTTGAGTCAAAGCAGTCACAAGTGTCAGTAAGATCTTTCACTATAGCATTGTCAGCAACTGTTCTCCAGTTCACAGTACCCATCGCTTTTTTCTGCCAGAACATCTGTGAAATGGCAGAGATGACCTTCAGCAAAACAATGATTTCAAAAGGTAACACCTCATTTTGTTAAAATAAACAGAGCTGGCAATTCTCTTCCAAGATTGTGTGTGATAGCAAGACATCTCCTTTAGACTTTTAAAAAGAACCAATCTAAATACAATATGAAAATATAACAGGAAATGACAAGGCTTGTTTAGCAAAGCTGTTAAATAAGTAATTACAATACTTCATATTTTAACCCTGTACGTTTTGAGGAGGGGGAGTAAGAGAGCAGCATGGTGGTGTTTATCTAGCCGTAAGTATGAAACCACCATACTTGGTCCAAATCAGTGACATAATAGGAACTAGGACCTGATGAGCATTGTATTTTTTAGACTAGTTAGGATAAAGGTGGCCTTCTTTTTCATTCAGGATGCTTCTTATTTTCATTAAACAATTTGTTTTGTTTCCCCAACACTACTAAGGCTAAATAATTACTGGCATGTGAAGTTTTTACTCAACTTCTTA